GGGGGGTGGGAGGGATGGGGGTGGCTGGGTGATGGACATTGGGGAGGATATGTGTTGTGGTGAGCACTGTGTGTTGTGTAAGATTGATGAATCACAGATCTGTACCCCTGAAACAAATAATATATTGTATGTTCATAATAATAATAAAAAAAGTAATTCCTTGATTTATCAGAACTATTTTGGGCCCTTCTCCAAGCTACCTTTAGATGTGTTTAGTGTAGCAATTTCATGGAACTTCATTTCTAATTTGATGCTAGGTTGGTATTTGTATATATTCTAGTTGTCTCTGTGTCCTTAAAAATCCCCCAGTTGAGTGTACATCGTCATTTTTAATAATCAGGCAATAAGGAGTATAGCTAGTTGTAACCTAGTCATAACCATTGTGCCTTGATATGTATGTATAGTTTCTTTAAAGAGGTGTGAGTATGAGTGAATTTTTAATTACAGGATAATGGCACAAAGCAAGTCCTGCTTTAATTATATTAGGTTTTAAATATACAGTATAGCGTGGGAGTTTTAAGACGTGGTTTCCAAGTTTTTTGCCACTTCTCTTGTTGATGAGTGGAGGTAGGGATCTTTGTGCCCTCCCCTTGATTCTGTGCTCTGAGAATAGACTGCACAGAAGTGATGCTGTGTGCAGGCCTAAGGAAACTTCCAGCTTCCATTTCCTGTCTCTTGGGACACTTACTTAAAAACCAGCCACCATGCTGTGAAGAACAGTCCACTGTGGCCTACATGGGGCGTGACCCTATCTCATGGCCCAGCACCAGGATGAAAGAGAGAAGGAAGAAGAGGCAAAAGGAATGTTCTACCTGTATGTTTAAGGAAGGGCCCCAGAACCTACTAGTGCTGATTGCTTGGTAGTGATCTGAAGTTAGGGACTTTGCTAGGGAAGTTGGGAAATGTCTTTTTTTTAATTAAGTAACCATGTTCTCTGCTAAAATTTTAGTTGTGTGGAAGAAGGGTACAGGGTTGCTGGTAGAACAGTGATAGTCTCTGACATACCCACTTTTACCAGTTTGTGTTCTCTTCTTATTGCTTCCAATGTAATTAACTTTTTATTTAAAACCCATTCAGATTTTACCTGGGATAAAAATCTTACACAGACTAGGAACCTTGAACTATTATTTTTGTTTCCTCTCTCTTTCTCTAGAAATACAGGTTTTTCATTTGAACTCATTTAATTGAGAGAAAAAGAGGAAAATTTAAAGCAGTAGGAACAAAAACAGCAAAAGACAAACCCCCAAATGAGAACTGGTCATTAATAGTGACTTGATAGGTATTTGTATATTATTATTTGTAAAATCTTAAATAGGTGGAATTTTCAGTTTTCAGTTTCTAGAAATTGAATTTACTACTCTGTTTTGAGTGCAATGATGAGGTTGCTTATAGCTCTGAGTGTTACTAACAGAGTTTATGACTAGAGAAAGGACAAGATCAGACAGTACAAAAATAGTTTCACTCCACTGTCTTTGAGATTCTCCAAATGTTATTATGTTAATTTTGGGTTTCTTTTTTTGTATTAATTTTGTCAACTAGTTAGCATTGAAATGTCATCTATGCCTATATCCATTAGGTTGAAGCAGAACTGTTTTACCCAATGATTAATCCTAACCACCAAAGGGGAGACATTAGGAGGTACACTTCCCCTCTGTGAAGTTCTCTTGCTTCCCCCTCCCCCATTCCAACCTGAAATCTATTCAGGGTTCTAGATCTAACCAGCAGTTTATAAGAAATAGAAATGTAATGCGGATGTTAAAATGCCATGCAATTCTGGGGTTGAACCCAGATTGTGAGAAATGGGAGGAAAATGAGCAGATCCTTGTCTTAGAAAAAGGGGAAGAGAGCATTACAAGTTAAAAGAACTGTAAAGATGTAAAAATAAGTAAGTGAATGGAGTGGCTGGACCTTATATGAATTCTGATTCAAAGATATTACCTGAAAAAAATTGAAATAATCAGGGAGATTTGAATACTAACTGAATATTAAATGCTATTAAGTTCTTATTAATGTTTTAAGTGTGATTATGTTACAAATCCTACAGAAACAGATATGGAAGTTTCTATAGATGAAATGATATCTAATTTGGGATTTGATTTAAAATAGAATTTGTAGGAAAAAAAATGGGTAGGCCTGGTAGAAAAGTAGATGTGCACGGTATAGACAAGACTGGCTGTGTATTAATAATTGTTCCACATGGGAAACAGGTGCATAGAAGTTCATTTTGCTTTTCCATAATAAAATTTTTATAAAAATCACCTAAATCTTGATCCACAAATTTTAATCCATGGGAAGAAAAGTAGTCAGTGTTCTATTTCTTAGAACCTTTCTTAGATAGAAGCAAAATACATGAAAATACACAAATACTCTTTTTTTTTTTTTTTAGGGTTTATTGAAAACATTTAAGCTTTATTTGCCTGCTGGAGGGTAACTTTGGTATTATGAAACAAAAGTTTTGAGGATTTATTAGATATACAGTTCTTTTTGTTTGTGGTAGTTAAATTTCACAGAGTCACTGTGAACACTGAATTAGCGAATACGCAGGGGAAGTAGAGTTAGGTTCTGTGAGCCTCTAGTCAGGACATTTTAATCAATACGTAGCCTTGATGAAAATATCCTGACTTAACCTTGTTTTATGTGTGTTTCTGTCGAAAGCCACCTTACTTAATGCATGTTGTTGATTCATTAATATTGAACCCCCGGTCCTGGTCAGGACTTGCCTGAAGAAAGCTCATCCAGCACACATGTGTTCTCTCTAAGGCACATCTCCCAATTTTAGCTTAGGGAAGTTCTGAATGTATATGTTAAGTTTTACTGGTTGAAAACAACTAATTGTGCTAAAATTGATGGAAATTGCACTATAATGTGGGAGGTTCACATGTTTAGTTTTATAAAAATCTGAAGCTGACTTGACAGAAAGCATGTATTATAAACATACGTAAAGCATATGATATAAAAATCTTAAATTGATACAGATGATCACATTTGAGTAAACTTTAAGAACATTTTTATATGGTGCACGCAAAAGATGACTTTTGTTCAAAGTGTTGATTACTCTTTCTGTATTTGTAGCATTTTTCTGGATTCTAAGACTCGAAGAGCAATGGGAGAACAAGCTGTAGCTCTTGCCAAAGCAGTGAAGTATTCCTCTGCTGGAACCGTGGAATTCCTTGTGGACTCGAAGAAGAATTTTTATTTCTTGGAAATGAATACAAGACTCCAGGTAACTCTGTTTTTCATTCCTTACCGTGCCTCTATACTTTACCCTTCCTCTCCCACTCCTTTTTGTTTTTATGAAAGTCAAAAGTCCAACTTCATAAAGTGTTAAATAAAGGTTTCATTTTTATGCTTATACTAGGACATCTGTTGGGAATGACAGATAAGTATCAGGTTAATGTAATGGTCAGTGTCTAGACCTTCTGCCTCATTACTGTTAACACTCCGTATTGGAAATTCCTCTTTGGTTCTTTTCGAACCTCTCTTGATGACTTGTCTTGGTTAGGGTTCATGTACTGTTAAGAGAACTGCTGTCAGATGTGATAAACAGAACGGGATTCAGGGCTTATAAAATTTTGAAGGGGATGGAGGAAGGAAGAGTACGTAGAGTAACTTTCAGGAATGACACTCATTTTCTTCTAGAGGAACTGCCCCCTCTGCCACTGGGATGAGGTTGAGAAGTCTAGCAGCTGCTCTGGAACTGTTGACTTAGGGACATGCTCCCTCTGTTCCAACCAAGGTCTCCGGAGGACTAGTGGCTTTCCTTCCTTCTTCCCCTTCTCCTTTTATTTAAGTTGTGTAAACTAAAACACACATACAGAAAAGTACATAAAACACCAATATATGGCTGAAAAAATTATTATAGCAAAAATCCATGTAACCATCAAGTGGATCTACAAGTCCCAAAATGCCAGCCCTTCTTACCACCCACCCCCGCCGCCCCAACTTCTCCTTCTAAGTATTCCTCATCTGTCCTCCTAGAGCTGGTTACTGTTCTGACTGAATTCTAAAAGCTTGCTTGCATTTCTGTATTGTTTTCCTTTTAATTATGCACACCTAAGCAATATATAATTAATTGTACCTGTTTTTTAAACTTTAATCAGTGGGCTCATGTAATATGCAATTTTCTATACGTTGCTTCTTTCTTCAACATTATGCTTATAAGATCACACTATGGGGCTGATTTTCATTTATTACGGCAGAATTTATGGTATCTAGATGCATTTGAAACCAGTATCGTAAATACTTACAGAGTTTGTATAAATATTAACCTTAGTTGTTGTTGCCCAAAACTTACACTTGTCTTTGAGATCACTTTTTTATCCTATAATTTATTGGTGTGAATATCTTTAGGAGTGACAGAATTTTGCCTTTTAGAGATTGATTTGATTTTGATTAAAAATATGTCTTTATAACAAATTATATCTAATTAGATAATTAGCTAGGAAATCATGTTTTTGATTAAAATGGAAACTTTATTATGCCATGATGAGAATACTAGTTTGTAATATAATTCTGAAGGCAGTTGAAAGTGTCTACAAGACATTTGTATTTTATTCCAGACAAAAGAGCTACTAGATTCTTTAGTTAGGGTATTTATCAGAATTTACACAACTAATAACCAGTGCTGTCTTTAGGACACTTTATTACTGTGTGTGTGTGTGTGTGTGTTTTGTTTGTTTCTGGCTCATTTATCTCAACCCATAAGCTTTTCTGAGTTTGTCTCATTGCTGGTTTTGGTATAAGACCTCTGGAAGTTGATACTTATATCAAGTAATGCTATGCAGTTGGTCAAAATCATTGGGTACTGAGGTGTACATTTTATATCTTGATGACTTGTCAGCAAGTTATGTTCTATACTCTCAAAAAAAGAGTGTAAATGAATTTAAAGAAAAAATTTCATGAAGAGATTCATTTTATTATATCTGATAGTACCTACTTTTATGCTATTTAATATCACACTTGGATTCATTTGTGTCTCCCATTTAATGTTGTAATATTTCTTTACTGTGCATTTACTTCCAGTGACCATAATCCTGTCAGTTACCAGATAATTAATTTTGATTTTCTAGAAGCATCTGTGTGATGGGCGGATATTTGGTGGTAGAGGCTGTGACTGAATGGGAACATGATTAAAGAACCTTGGATTTCATTGTATTCAGAAAGCCATTCTTATATATTTCAAAGACTTCTTTCTGATATTTAAACAATTCAAATGTTCTTTTAATAGTAGAGTTTCTTTTTCAAATTTCTTTACTAACCTTAAATTATCATACTTAAGGCACATTTGCCAAATTCTTCATCTTCTAAGATATATGTTATCTCTAATTAGTGCTTCATTTTGAGCCTGGAGAGCTATAATTGTCTGTGTTCTTTTTTTGTTTTTTCCTTTCTTGAAATATCTTGATTGAACTGTCACTTTTTCCAGCTTCAGAAGTTATACACTTTTTTCTGGTAACAGAAATGTGGATAGCATCTTTACTTTGCTTGATTTTTTTTTTTTTTTTTAAGAGTGAAATTTGAAATAAATAGAGTTTCTTCTTAAAGAGATGTAACACTGAGAAAGTGTTTGGTGCATAGATTCAGTTGACTGGTTTTGGTCTCAGTCTGGTTAAAATTTATTTATCAGAATTATCTATGCTGTCCTTGTATATGTTTGTGTTCACAGTTGTTAGTTTTCTGTTTCTTAATGATAGTGCTTCTTCCTTAAAGGTTCCTTTTCACTGTGTCCTTCATCTTGCCTCAGAGTCCTCTTTCCTGCCAGTGCCATTCTTGATGTACTAGTTAGGAGAGACTTCTTTCTTTCTTGGGTATGCCATTCAGTTTGACCTCTATGTGCTTTTTATATGTTACTCCTTTTGCTTGAAATGGTCTCTTCCATTTTCTGTAGTAGAAGCTCCCATACGTATCCACCCACACATATGTATCTGTAGATATATCACCTGTTTCCTTCTTTCTGTTTATGAAAGTTGGGTAGGGAGCTGGAGAAATACTCTACCAAAAACCGTAATTTTGTTAAAATGCTATTTTAATTAACTAAATTATATGTGATTTTGCTTGAATAATGTTAGTTTCGTATTGAATGGTAAAACTAAGAATTGGCAATATTTTGTTAAAAAAAAAAAAGAAAGAAAGAAAAGAAAAAATCCAAATGGTTCAGAAGAGTATATAACAGAAAAGTCACTCTCCATACCACGTTTTTATCACAACCATTTGATTTTCCTCTGGAGGCAACCTTTGTTTTACTTAACAATGTATCTTTGGTAATGTTCCATACCTAACTTAAAGCGTTATCTTCATTTTTATGATTTTTTAATACCCAGTTGTAGATGTAATCCTGTAATTTCACCAGTTTCCTATTGGTAGTTTCCCCAGTATTTTGCTATCGCAAATATTGACAATTATGAATGTCCTTTATATCATCACTTTGCATGTGTGGAAGTAGAATTTCTGGGGAAATATGAATTTTAGTAATTTAGTTAAGTATTATCAGTGTCTTTTACTCCCTAGTCCAAAGGATCTTTGACTTTTGGTCTTTTTCTGTTAGTGAAAAATAGTATATCATTTTCATTTTCCTTATTATGAGTGAGGTTGAATTTTTCTTCATAGGTTGATTAGCATTTCATTTTCTTTGAATTGACCATTAGCCCCTTTGCCCTCTGGGTTTTCTTATTAAAGGTGTCCTTTATTTTTAAGCAATAAGCCATTTGTGATATCATGAAGAAGCAATGCTCCATGAATATTTTTCACATTGCTACAGAGTGAGGGCTTTCTAACCAAAGACTTTTGGCACAGAGATTGAAGGATAGCAACTTTAAGATAGAGAGTGCTGGAAAGTCTTATTTTTTTTCCTCAGAGCCATTTGTTGACATTCCCTTTCTCTCCTCAGAAAGATAGGTATATATTCCAGAGCCAAGTTTGTATGTGCTCGTGTGTCGTCGTCCCCCCCCCCCCCCCCCCCGTGGTAGAGGAAGGGCAGATAAGGCAGCAACTCTTACATAAGTTCTGAGTGTAATAGTTTTGGGCTTCCTTTCCTGTGCTGCTTACCCCTCTGCATGCACAGGGAAATCAGACCTTGATCACATTGCCCCATATGGAAATAAGGTGTGGGGAATAATGCTAAGATGTTCTGTAAGTGATTGGTTTCTTCTCCCATCCACAAACCGTTTCCTGGTAAGATTATCAAATGTAGATTAAAAAAAAAACAAACAAACCCAGATGTGATTTATTTTTCCTTCACATGTTGCCTTTTTGACTTTGTATATTGTTCTTTCTTTCTATTTAGAAATTTTTTGTTTTTAAATCTTACAGTTGAATTTTAAATCTCTTATCATTTCTGGTGTTAGAACATACTTAGGCTTTTCTTTCCTTTTTTTTTAAAGATTTTATTTATTTGACAGAGACACAGCGTGAGAAGGAACACAAGCAGGGGGAGTGGGAGAGGGAGAAGCAGGCTTCCCGCTGAGCAGAGAGCCCGATGCGGGGCTCGATCCCAGGACCCTGGGATCAT